GGGATCGGCGTGGTCGAGGTGCAAAAACCCATGGTTTTTTTTGCGATTTCTAACCTGCTCGCGCGACCCTCTGCGGGGATCGGCGTGGTCGAGGTGCAAAAACCCATGGTTTTTTTGCGATTTCTGCGGTGCTCGCGCGACCCTCTGCGGGAATCGGCGTGGTCGAGGTGCAAAAACTCAAGGTTTTTTGCGACTTTTGTTGTTCGAACTGGTCCTCGGGAGTTGTCTCGTGGTTCGCGCGCCTGCTCCCGGAACCGGCGGGTCGCGTGTTCGATTCCTCCCTGGTCCGCGGGCGGGCGTCGCAAGATGCAACTTGCATTTTAAAGCAACTTGCGCAGAGCAACTTGCGCAGAGCAAGTTGCACAGAGCAACTTGCGCAGACCAACTTGCACCGACCAGTGTGCGCAAAGCGCCTTGCCTAGAGCAACTTGCGCAGAGCAACTTACGCAGAGCAACTTGCACAGAGCAACTTGCACAGAGCAGCTTGCACAGAGCAACTTGCAGGGAGCGCAATTTGCACATAGCAACTTGCAGGGACCAACTTGCCGGAGCAACTTGCGCGGAGCAACTTGCGCAGAGCAACTTGCACAGTGCAACTTGCGTAGAGCAACTTGCGCAGACCAACTTGCACCGACCAGTTTGCGCAGAGCACCTTGCCTGGTGCTGTCTTGCGCTTGCTTCACGAAGTGTAGGGAAAAAGAACGCATCCTGCAGCGTTGGGCCGACCTCGCTTGCGATGTTCTGCCAACCGTAGTCTAGTTTTTAAGCAGCCTTGATGTCTCGTGCCAGCTGGTTGAAGCTGGGCGGAGGCAGGCTCCGGCGTGACTGCCCGGAACTGGAGCTCGGCCGCGAGCTCGGCTGAGACTGGGGGAAGGGGCGCGGAAGCCCGACTGCGAGGAGGCGCGGCTGCTTGCGGGGGTGCCGGACGTGCTGCTGCCGGCGCGCAGCGTGAAGTGCTGAGGCTGCGTGGCGTCGTTCCTGCACGGCTGCGTCCTCGCTGCCCTGCTGAGGCCGGAAGAGCGTGTTCTCCAGCACCCAGCCCGTGCCGCGGGCCCGTAGGCTGCGCCGCCCGCAAGCCCCACAGCCAGACAGCCCCGCCGTTGGCGCTGCGCCGACTCCTGCCGCGCCAGCCAACGTTCCAGCAACCTCGCCCACGCCCGCGGTCGGCGCCAGGGCAGCAGCCCCCTCCGCCAAGCCACCCAGGTACCCGAAGGCTCCGCCCACGCCCTCAACCTCAGAGAAACACGGAGGCTCAAGGCCGCCAGCGTTGACAAAGCGCATCCCCCGCCAGCGCCTTTTAGCGAGACCTCCCCGCCGCTCTCAGAGGGCGGCGCGTTGCGCAAAGGTAGGCCGTGGCCGCAACGGGGATGTGGACCTTGAGACGGTGCAAAGGCCAGTCGCCCGGACCGGCTCTGCCATACCACTGCACCACCTGCTCACCAGTGGCCAAGGAGCTCCCGCCATGGTGCCAAAACTGTGGCTGCGCTAAGCGGTCAAGCATCAGCTGCTGCAGGCGAAGCGGAGCATCGCTGCTGGCTAAGGGCGCAAACACTTTGGCCAAGCACGTTGCAAGGCTCGTGAGCCATGACCGGAGGAACCTCAGTTTCTCATCAGCACCAAGTGGGGGAGCGTCAGCAGCCATCCGGAGAAGGGCAAGAGTGTTCCTCACGGTATGCAGACCGGCCTCCGTGGCTGGATGTGTGTTGAACCCCCACGGGTAGCTGGTGGGGAGTTGGGCAAAAAGGCCAAGCTGTGTCAGGGTGAGCACCTCTTTGGCCTGAACCTTGTGGGATACGGGCTAGGCCAGTAGCAAACTCATCCAAAGCCTCGAGCGTTGCAGGGTCAAGCCCGTCTTCAACTTCCGCATCGTCCTGATGGCCTCGGCCGACCGGACAATCCCCTGGCCCTGGGCAGAACTCAGTGGCATATCCTTGCCGATAGGCCTCCTCGGCAGTGGCTGGTAGACAGTCGTGATACACAGAACTGGACACGCTAACCTGGTCAACTGCAGAGGCGGCGCAACCTCAGTGTCCAAGGCCTCCGTGTCAGAGGCAGGATCAGCCTTGGTGTGCTGAGCTATTTGAAGGGGCGGCACGCATGCCCTGATCCATTGCAACCAAAGACGATTCCTCACCTTGTGCCGCCAAGGCAAGGAGCGCCCATGGCCCAATCGCCTCGGGGTTGGCGCTCCCAGCCGCCTCGGCGGCAGTGTGGAACCGACGGGGTGGCAGCCGCCGGTTCAGTGTCCGAAGCAGACACGTCGACCGGACTGCTGCTCCACAAAGGCTTTCCACGCGTGACCGCATCAGTGATATCCTTGGCGGTGAACGCGTCACACACCGCAGAGATGCAGGCAGGGTGGATGCCCTCGAGTTGCAAGCCAGCCTGGCTGGTGTAAGGGGCCCCACTGGTAAGGAGGGTCTCCCCGCCAGCAACAAACAGCTGGACACCTCGCTGGAGGCACTTGATGAGATCTACTGCGATGGCAACCGTTCGTCGCCTCCGCAAACCCACTAGTGCCCAGGAGAATGAGGTGAGGTGGATGTGTGCGCGCCCCCCCCCCACCAAGTTCCCGGGAGGATGCCCGCGATGCCAAGCAGTGCACTGATGAAATGGCCGTCTGGACCCACACTGAGACGCAGCGCGCTAATGAGATACGTCGGCCCACACTGCAAGAGTCGGAGCCAACCCTCAGAATTGTTGCCCTGCCAAGATGCCTCAAGGTAAGACAGATCAAGCCGCAACTCAGCCCACTCAGCAGGCTCCGGAGGATTTTGCACCAAACCCACCCTACTTCCTGCGGGCCGCGCAATGCGGCGGCAAGCAGGTTGAACGACTGTTCAAGGTCTCTAGCATGGCCAAGGAATTCAGCCCGAGGAGGCAAGCGGCCGCGATAGGCGCCGCCCGAGGGCAACCCCAAGACCGAAGGAATGCGGTCCGAGTGCACACTAAGCAAAAACTGCCACATGCGGAGCGCGCATCAAAGCCGGGCCACTACACATATCTTAGCACAGACAGCGAGGAGCCCAGGCGGGGCAGAATCCAGAACACGCACAAGGTGGCTGTAATTGTGCCCACTAGGCCCAAAGGCCTGCGTGCCTCCAGCAAAGCCGTGCGGACGCCCGACTCTACCACGTGGCCCCAAGACCAGGCGGAGTCGGACACAACCTGCGCAACACGGACACTACCAAGTGGGAAGTTGCCCCCTTCATGGGTGAGCCCGATAAGGGCTGGCGGGGGCATGGATACGCCTCCAATGCGCACGTGAAGCCTGGATTCCGCATCCAGAACATGCCTCCACACAATGGCCGCAGCGGTGCACGAGTAGGAGCCAGCAGAGAAACCCCTCAGCAGAGCCCCACGCCCGGAGATTAAACTGGCGATCATAGTGCAGCCGACCAAATATGCACTAGCAGGTTGGTACATGCTACACGCATAGCAACGCATGACAGTCACGCCAGCACGGTGCGAAGCAATGGCATCAGCAACTCGCCAAGTAGAGTCATCAGGTGACCAAGTCATGGTATGACGCATGTCACCTGGCGAGCTATTTCACCATGGACTATGGCAGCAAGATGTTCGACTCCAAGAAAGGCAAGTCAGTGCTGGACATGACAACCATTGAGGATGTGGAAGCCGAACGACATGCTGGAGATTGTGACTGACGCTGGCTACGCTGGCAATCAAGAGATAAGGAAATCGACAACCAGCTACCAGATGCGGGAACTTCATTGGGGCCAAGGTCAGAGGGCAGCGTTCAATTGCCCTCAGTTCTGGTGAGAGAGTACGTGGCGATGGTCAGTGAAGGCATGTTCCTGAGACACATCTGGGAATTTCTTTGTGGCGACATCCCGGACACAGTTTGACAGCTCAGCAGCAAGAGGAACTTCTGTGGTTGCAGCAGAGACTGTGCAGACATAGGCACCAAGATCCTCACCAAGGCCCGCAGTCAAGGTCTCATGTTCATGATGAACATGGTGGACGGCAGTGGAGAGCGCATTGGTGAGGAGCAGTTCAAAGAAATTGAGAAGGGCATGCTGAGTCAGAAAGGTAGCAAGAAGATCCTGAACGACCTGAAAGGTGAGTGTCGCATGATGATGGTGGTTGCTTCGGCCAATTTGGTCAGGGCAAATGCAGAGCCCAATGAGAAGAAAAGTGAGGACGGCATGAGTGAATGGTGGATGCTTGTCATTGCCATTTTGGCAGTGATTGGAGCCTTGGGCCGGGTCAATTGGACATGGCGCTTCTTCATCCGGGTGATTGTGAATGAGACGAGCCGGAAGAAGAAGACAGTGACGCGCGATGAAGACGAGGACAGTGAGAGCGATTTGTGGGCTAGAAAGCCTACTAGGCGTAGGAAGAAGAAGCACAAAATGCGTGAGAAAGATGGCATTGTGAAAGTGCACGCAACGGGCAAGGTGTATCATACAAGTACGCTTTGTCAGTACTACAAAGGGGGTAAATCATACCCCAAATGTAGTGTGTGTGCAGAGCATGAAGGCAGCATGTTAGACCACCAGTGAAATCCAATCATGGCCTGCACACATGTGAGCACCTGTGAATATGGTGACTGCAAATGGAGGCTCTAAGCCATAGCGAGAAAAGACCGCTGCGCTGCCGCTTTGCACGAACCCGAGCCCCCCCCCCTCTTCCCCCGGCTAAAACAAAACAAAAACATTGAACCCGAACCCGGCCCGAAACCCCCCATTTCTCCCCTGGAACTCGAACCCTCGCCCGAACCGGAACGTTTCTTCAATTGGCTGGTAGCCATAGCACCACGCGTCAAAAACACGGCTTTTATACGTAATTACGCGAGCAGCAGGGCGTGTGATTAAAGTGTTTCATGAAAAACAACTGAAGTGGACCCTCTGGGCAAACTTGTTTCTTACCTGGGCTGCGTTGCTACAACAGGTGAAAAGGCAGCAACATAGATGGTTTTTGTTGGGAATTTTCAGTTGCGGCTTTGGATCTGTTTCGTTTGAACAGTTTGAACCAACTGCAGCCATTGTTCTCAAGTTCTATACTTTCCCTCTTTTACCGATAGGATCTCTTCGATCCACCATGGCAATCCATATGTGGTTGCTTGTTCTTCTAGGTGCCCGATGTTTTGCGGAGGAGATGTGCTCCTCTGAGCTTGCCTCGGGTCCAGCTTTGCTGCATCGGCGCATGGCCCGCGCAACCATGAAGGATTTCGCCGGCGGCGCCGACCACGGAGGTGTCAACGCTTCGAATGCTTCGAACGCTTCGAATGCTTCGAATGCTTTCAGTTCCGGCAACGGCCATGGCAATGGGTCGGCGATTGTGGAGGCAGTGGACGCATGTTTGGCCCCAAAGCGCGTGGCGGCTTTTGGGGATGCGGCGACGCTGGAGCTCTGGGACCGCGTGAGGACCGCAGAGATCCTGGCGCGGCTGCGAGCGGCGAACCTCAGCGTCAAGGCCCTGGGCCCGGAGTGGCCTGAAGACCCCGCCGTCATCGACGCCGCCCAAGTGGCGGGCCATGACGCAGCGGAGGCCCTGGCCAGGGCCCAGTTCAAGAAGGAGGCGGAAGTCATCTTGAAAGGCAACCTCACTGAGGCCTCCATCGCCCACTTCGTGGACCAGATTCAAAAGATGGCCGAGATGTGCGGGGACGGCGAAGAAGCCCATGCCATCGCTGAAGACGAAGCACAGATCCTCAATTCCTCCAGCGGTTTCATCTCTCCGGAGGAGGCAAGGGTAGCCGCCGACATTGCCGCGTATGTGCAGGGCCTCTGCCAGTCAGAGGCGCTTGACATCCACTTTTTTTTGGGGCATTTTGTCGGTAACTCCTCGGAGTGCAGCGACCTTGTGTCCATGTCCCACTTGGTCCAGATCAACAAGGAGACATCCAAGCTTGACTACTATGCCAAGAGCGTCTTAGTCCTGCATGATTCGCACAATAAGCTGGGTCATCACTTTGCGAAACGATTGAAGCAGAAACAGGATCAGGAGAGTTCTTTCGAGCCACTGCTTGTGCATGCCACTTTGTCGCACGCCAAAAACAAGGCAAGAATGGCGCGGTTGCGTTACCTGGACAGCTTCTACTATGAGAAGGTCCATGGATACTCTCAAACGGCTTATTGTGACTCCAACATTCGGTTGAAGAAAGAGCTGCCGCAGCACTGGATCAGTCAAAGTGCAGAGATCCAAAGGTACGTGGGGTGCCGCTGCATGGAGCGCCAGCCCGCATTGCTTTGTGATGCCCTGCATGGTGAGGAGTTGGCCCGGCTGCGGCCCCAGGTGCTGAGCCGGCTGCAGCAGGCAGCCAAGAAGCTGGAACCCTCCTTGATGCAGACGGGCTCCAACATGGGCTCCGGAACGGGCTCCGGAACGGGCTCCGGGGCCCCGGTGGGTTTGGGCCCGTGCCAGGACCCGGACGGCAAGCCGGCAGCTGTGAGCTGCTCGATGTGCGTCAACGGGGACAACTGCGTCAGCAGCGGCGGGAGTTACAGCATCGACGTCTTCTCCGCGCTGAAGCCTCTTCTCGGCAGGAGCAATTCCTGCATGAAGGGCTACTGCACCCCTTGCATGGGCGTCAAGCCTGGGGACGCATTGCAGTTCAAGATGGACATTGGTGTGGATGCCTCAAAGTGCGGCAGCACCGCTGAGTTCATGGCGAACTTCAACCTGTTCGCAGAGCTGAAGCTATGCATCGGTGGCGTTTTGGGAGAAGCCGCCGACATGATCGGCTGGGCGCTGTGCGAAAGCCTCGGCAAATTGGCGTACTACCCCTTCATCAACAAGCTCCATTTGTCCGTCAGCCTTCCCATTCCCATTCCGGCTCCTTTGGGAATCCGAGCCAGCATGGCTGCCAACTTGAACCTTGGGGATCTCACCGAGGCGGTGAACAGTCACTGCGCGACTCTAAGTGCCTCTGCGCACTTCCTGTGCCTCACGCAGTTCTTCAATGCTCGTGGAGTTACTTCTGTGGACTTTGACATCGAAGCCCTCATTGGTGTCAGGATTCCCTTTGTGGGCACCGCAGCTCGGCAAAGTCACCAAAAAAGTCAGAGTCCTGGTTTTTGGGTTGAGTATGTTGTGTCTTGTGCGACATGTCTCCAGTGTTTCAGGTGGGCGAATGGGTGAAGGTGTTGGGCTTTGGCTTTGCAGAGTCGGACAACTCCCGTGAGATCGCCATGAACCGCGCGGACGTGACGGTGATTTACTTTGGACCCAGAAGCGAGAACCAGATCTGCGGCAAGGCCTTCTCAGGGGTGAACTGCGAGGCCATCGCGGGCGACCAGGACCGGCATTTTTTTTTGAGGAATCGGGTTGGGCTGCGAACATTCCAACCAAGCCGAGACACGGCGCAGCCGCGCTTTGCCGGAGTCAGGACAATCGGGTCAATGAGGACTGCCGCTACTGTGGAGATGACTTCTACCTTTGGCGCCCCGACTCCTCGAACTACCGGTCCCTCTGCGTGCGGCGCACCGACTATGGTGGTGGCTGGGGCATGAATTTGGAGGTGGCCTGCAGAGTGGACAATACCCACACCAAGAGCCATGGCACTGTCAATGACCGAGCTTGGCTTGACTTTTTGCCTTTTAGATATCTGACCATACAGTCCGTGGTGTAGGCTTTGGGTTTGCTTTTGCCTGCTTCTTCTTTCATGTTCACTTCTTTCCGCTTGCGGATTGGCACTTGAGGGCCGCAGTCTGGCTGAGACGTTCTGGCTTTCGTTTCTTTTCGCTTGCTTCTCCAAACGTCTTTCTGATTGACTTCAATCCTCCAATGACACATCTAAGCCGAACCCAATAGAACAACTTCCTCCACATTTTCCTGCTTGCCTTTGTCCTCCAGATCCTAGCTGTTTTGATGCGTGCCTTCTGAAGCTCAGGACCTTGCTCTCCTTTGGGCACAGCAGCACCAACACCAAGTGCACCTTGCCCCCAGAGCCGGTGACCTGCCGCGCGGACAGCGCGGACCGGGGCCAGCGTCTGGGCTTCGATACCCACGCGGATGACTACCACGTCTACAAGGCGGGATGCCATGGAACCCGTTGGGCAGCACAACGGCTTCGTTCACAGTCTTTGAGTTGGATACTCCAATTGACGCACAGCGAATTGGGTCGGCCAAAACGGCCCCCTTTGCGGATGGTTCAAAGCTTAAAGGAAACCAAGAAGAAGGCAGCCCTTCAAGGGTCCAGTTCATGAGGACACGGGGGGAGGGGACGTTTGCGGACTAGTCGCTCAATTTGGGCAGAAGTCAAGGGCCGAAGGGCTGCCTGATTTGCATTAGACAGGAAAATGGAGCTGTGCAATTTGTGACTTGAAACCTGAGACGCAGGATGGCCAGCGATGGTGTGCGCGGCGCACAGACTACGGTGGTGGTTGGGGCAACAATCTGGTGGTGGAATGTGATCCTACAGGCAGGTATCGCCGCAGAGCCTGCATCGAGCCCGCTTGCCATGCTTTTTTTAAGCGCATGACCAAGAGGCTTGAGATTTCCCTTGCTTTCGCCCTTCAGGCGGAGGAGGAGTTGTGAACTACGTGGTCTCCACGGTGCATTTGGGCAGCAGTGGGGTGAACCAGAGGTGCCTCCTTATGACCCACGCGTATGACTGTGACCCAGATGCAGGGGACATGTACAAACGGGTGAACCACGACTGTGCCGGTTGCGGGGATCGCTTCTTCGTGGAGGAGAGTGAGGGCTATGTTTGTGCGACGCGACTTGATTACCATGGCGGTTGGGGATTGGATCTGAAGATGCACTGCAAGGACTATGGCTGGGTGCGGGAGGTAGTGACGGTCAATATGGGTGCCAGCAACTCCAACACGAAGTGTGTGGGCGTGCACCGGCCTGTCACCTGCGCCGCCTTCGCGGCGAACCTGGGCTATCGTCTGAATGCCGATCCTTGGGGGGACGCCTTCCAAATCACAACCTCCGGCAGCACTGTGTGTGTGCGGCGAACGGATTACCATGGTGGCTGGGGGATGCAGCTGTCGTTTTCCTGCACTGGCGTTTGAATGAAGCAGTCGTTTTCCCCAGC